ACACTATAACGCCGCACCGGAGCAGTCCGACTCTAAAGAAAGGTATAACGCGCTACACTAATAATATTTCGTAATTTTGATAACGTAAAAAATGCGCGAAATCGCTGGTCAGCAGCGGAACGTCATAACGTCATTTCCTGAAAATATCATAACGTTATTTAAATTCTCAACGGATCAACATTGTTTTAAAGTTCTTGCCCAGAGCCACTGAGTAAACAACATGACGTCGATAGGTGACGTTGAATTGCGAAGCATCGTGAAATTTTGTGTGGCGCTGGAAAAGTCTTCCACAGAAACAATGAAAATGATCAATTCTACAGGAAAATACAAGAAATGCAGTCCGGCTACAGTGTATAGATGGCATGCTCGTTTTAAAGAAGGAAGAAACTCGATCGAAAACGATCCTAGATGCGGTCGGCAGTCTGTTGTTGCATGTTCAATTAAGGACTCGGTAAAAGACATGATAAATTGCGACAGAAGAACGACAGTTAGAGCTATTGCAGATGAACTTTGCGTATCAGTTTCTACTGTACACGGAATACTTACAAAAGAGCTCGGTATGTCTAAAGTGAGTGCACGTTGGGTACCACGGTTGCTAAAGGACAATGTAAAGGATTGTCGGGTGCGATACTCTCAGGCATTCCTATCACGCTATGACGCCGAAGGTGATGAGTTCTTAGATATAATAATAATAACTGACGAATTTTGGCTCCACCACTTTGATCCAGAGACTAAGGCTATGTCATCGGTATGTAAAACCCCGCGTACACCTCCCCCAAAGAAAGCCCGGGTGCAGAAAAGTGTGGGAAAACACATGTTTATTTTCTTCATGGACCGGCACGGGATGATTCTGCGACACAGAGTTCCGGATGGTCAAACTGTCACGGCGGCTTACTATTCAAAGGTAACTAAAAGTATACATTTCTAATTATAATTTATTTTAAAACACATTTATTGATAAACATATAATATTATAAACATAATATTTATAAGTAAAACATTTAAAATATAAAAGTTTTGAGTAAGATAAGTGCAAATCAAATTTTTAACCGCATGCGTTTTTTATAGGCTCTGAGGCGGGATCTCGTTAACGCGATACGGAAGAAGCGCCCCCATATGGGCCATGACCGCATCATACTTCATCAAGACAATGCGCCGGCCCACAGAGAGGAATCTACCCAGTTAGAGATCAGCCTTTTGGGGTTTGAGATCTAAGAGCACCCTCCATACAGCCCGGACCTCGGTCCGATGGACTTCCGTGTGTTCCCGGAGCTCAAATCACAGCTGCGTGGAAAACGCTTTGACTCAGCTGACGATATTGTTAAGCATACGCAAGCTATAGTCTCGTCCTTTACCGATAGCTGGTACGTGGAAACATACAATAAGTGGATCAGCCGACACAGGAAATGCATCGAAATTGCAGGTGACTACGTTGAAAAGGTGCGACGATCGATGGACTTTAACGTCGCATAACGTTGCAAATGACGTCGGCGTGCTCCAACTTAAGATAAAAACAGTTGTGAATACCACTTAAGTAAATTGTGGATTCTTATCTTAAATCTAAGAAAATTTCTCACAATATAAGAAAAATCTTATATTTAAGTCAAAAAATTAACTTAAGATCAGTTGTGAATACGGCCCCTGGTGTTTGTTATATGGTTATTTACTATTTTTATTATGTTTTAGTTTCTGTGTGTATGATGCTGATATTTTCAGATACTGTACAGTATATATTGAAATAAATGCGTATATATTTATATTTACGCTAACCCGACTACAACGTGTACTATAAAACAATTCTCAGAACTTCCCGAACAACCCTCGTACAATTTGGTTTGAACTACACAATACAGTCAATAAATGGTTAAATGTTATTATTCTGATGTCATACGTATCGTATAATAGGTCTTTCATTAAGAAAATATTACCTTTGTATGTTTGACAACAATTTTACATGTTACCGCTGTTAAATGAAAACTGGTTCAATCCAATTTGGCACAAAATTTACCCACCGATGGATTAGGGAATGTTTTTTATATACCGGAAAATCTTAGTTAGCCTTACGCACTTCCCACAAATAAATACTGTATGCGTGATACAACATGTATCATGACATGTTTTGTCTAATATATGTATTTTAAAATCAAGTTTGATTTTCTTGAAATATTTTGGCTCAGCTATGGGCATGCAACGTTAATCTGGATACTGTTATATGATAGTTTTTAAAGTTGACATTAGTTTATATCCGAAATTTGAATAATTGATTTTTGACTCATTTTTCTTTAGTTTTTAAAGTTATTAATTTAGCAAAGAGGTCATTGACATAGACTAAGATTTATTTGGTTGCTTTATATAAACTCATAAAACTTGCTAATTATATACGTAGATATGAGAAAGTTTGGATGAGCAGGGTTACTGAGAGTCTACAATGCTTATTGATATTAATTGGCATCCGCGCCGAAGCGCGGCGCCTCTTATGGAATGAGAAAGGACAATTGCAAGTTCTCGGGCCTTTTAGTCGGTTATAATAGCCGATCGTTCCGATTGTAGGGTGTTTGATTATTAAAAATGAATAGCGAACTGGAGAATTACGCAATGCTATTATATTCAAATGAAAAATCTTCCGTCAATTAATCGCGCTCTATTAATCGCGCTCTACGGGTTTTTTTATTAATCATATTGTAGTGCAAGGGATGTTATTGTTGTACATGCATCCGAAAGCTGTAAATAAGGTGATGACCTTAACACTGTGTAGGTCCGAATATCTATTTAAAACGGATGTACTATTCGTCGGTTTGCTACCGGTTTGCTACCGGAGAATAGCATCACACGTTTATTGTCCGGTCTCTCCCGGTTTCGGAGTAGATGTTTGATATCGTTACAGATAAATAAGTTTTTTTTCCAAAATGAATGGTATTGTCACTTAGTTTGGTTACAATAATTTATAAACACAGATCAACTCTCATATTTGCTGATTTTACATAAACTTACAATTAGAAACAACAAAACAACAACAACAACAATAGCATGTTTCATTTTATTTAGATAAAAACAATAAATATGTACAATAATTGAGTAAAAAGGTACATGTTTATGGTATTATTAAGACACCATCAACTTTGAAACATTTTATTTAATTTCTTATTCGTGTTTAGTAAAGATGCTTAGGAATTATTCTAAGTTACAAATTAGATTTTATGAATTATTCAATTGATTAATAATCTAAAAATGATAAAGAAAAATACAATTGTACATGTACATGGTTTAAGAATAAACAATATAATATATTGAAAGATTTACCATAATTTACTGACTTTTTCCAGTTAATTTTTGACTTATAATCGTCAATCAATATGACAATCTATGTCTTAAAATTTATTTTACAATTTTAATAAAACAAAGTATTAAATGTAAAACATCTGTATTAAAATAGCACGTAAAACACAAAAAATAAAAACAATATTCATAAAATTATAAGAATATGTAAAAAATATTAAAATAGATATAAAAATTATTGTATAAAAAAAACAATTATGCTTAACATAATCAACATGGTAATATAACCAGTGTCACATATTTACTAAGTGTGAACAGATACCTTAAGGGGGTTCTGCGCTAATAGCGATAACATAATAAGGGACAATTACACAAGTGTGGTGTTGATCATGCCTTACACAAATGGATAATAAATGATTGTATATATCCGTTGCTATTAATAATCACGATATAACATTTATAGCCATAAAAATAACAATTATAACATAACATTATATATATATATATTTTATTATTTCCAAAATGTAAAAAAATCTATTGATTTTGACTACTATTTTCTATGTTACAAAGAAAATACCACATGAACTTGAACTTCTATCAAATCACCAATATTAATGATAATATCCAAAAATACCCCTGATATAGTATAAATAAACTTATACCATATGGGGAGTATATTTTGAATATCATTGACCCGTATTATTTGGATATTATCGTTAATATTGATAAAATTTCAAGTTCCTGTGGAAAAAAAGTAATATTTTAATCTAGCATGCTTACCAAAGTTTATTATGAACAATGTCTTTCGCCCGCTCATTCTTAAGTGATATACAATTCTGGTAAAAACCAATTTACCATTGAAAAGTTTATAAGAATGTCTTGTCATCATATGTCTACTAGTTCATCTTCACTTGCTGCATTACTTGTTTGGACGCCCTTTGATGCTTTGCATCAATGTTTTTCTTGTATTTTTATTGTGTTGAGTGTCCTTTCTAATAGAAGAGTACAGCTTTAATCAGATGAGAGTAGAAGGAATATAATTTTCTCATGCACATTTCATTATATAACATGTATTATCTTTTGAGTTATATGATATGATTACTTCGTTTACACGATGTCATTTTACAATTACTTTGTTAGATAATCAGAGTTTTTAAGTTGCAATATCATTATTTAAAAAAAATACATAATCTAAATAGATTAACTTGTGTGTAGTTCACTTCTTAGTCCAACACATACAAACGGTTGAAAGGAGACAAATTATCATTTCTGAAGCGGTTTCCATGTTATATTTTTGAAATGCTTATTCAATGATTCATTATCTTATAAAAGTCATAATCCTTTCTCTTCCATGTTTTATGGCTCAGTTCATAAGTGCGTGCTCAATATTTTACAGTGGAAAACACCCTAAAACCTTCCATGTGCATAATCTAAAAAAATAATTTGAACATATTTTGGATGGATCGCATCTTATAGATATCTTGCTTTATTTGCATTAAAATTGCCCACCAGCAGTGCTTTCATCTTGTGGGACAGATTTAAAAAATGTGTTATTTCATAAATATTTGTATATATTTAAGTTTTCCCAGTTAAATTGGATTACAGTTATTATTAGCACTAATAATTTGTATTTATCATGATTACAAAGAAAGATCTGCTAGTCGAGTGTAACCTCTGTTATAAGAACTTTAGACAACTTACAGAAATTTGTTTTGCGTTTGCAGCGAAATTACAAGCTTATAGAAGAAATTAAAAGTGATCAAATGAGCCTACATATTGAGGAACATAACGGCAGAAAATGGAATTTGTTAGTACTTGGTCCGTGCGGATCGGGGAAGTCATCCTTAATTAACTCCGTATTAAGTATTTCTAAAGGGAAATATATCAACAGTGCTTTCGCATGCGGAGTACAAATGGGTTACACTACATCAAAGGTATTTCATGAATAAAATAACAAATAATATGACCCTTCCAAAATAGAAAATAACTTTTGCCTTGTATGAAATGACAATAGGTCCAATAAAATGATTGTGTCAGCACGACCTCTCAGGACATTCTGTTAAAGTGAAATACGGAAAGTAGATATATATCCCATTTTATTATTAATTGTTACTGAATAGGCTTGATATTTTAATGGACATAATTAAGACAGTACTGTATCTACAAAATTAAGTATATTAACTTTAAAAAGAATTGTTTTTTCTTGTTTAGGTCGATTTATGTTATTTCTACTTTCCCTTTTCATTGTATGTTACATTTATATGCGTTAGTGCGTGCGTGTATGTGTGTGTACTTGTCAATGGTATAAAATGCTCAGCTTCGATCGGATACAATATATTACCAATTTTATTTTATCTTTATTTTCAACAGTTTCAACTTTAAAAAATAATATATTAAGGTGTCATCTTTTTTAGCGCACTTGTATACACACGGAGGTCATAGAAAAATAACGTTTTAGTTGGAAATAAAAGGCCTTCTATTATCTCGTTCCCTAAGGTGCGTTGCGGTTAGATACGCGTTTGATTGATGTTTTCTGGGTACACTGCTTTTAGTTCACCTGAGCTAGCTCAGGTTGAGCTTTAAGGATCGATGAATGTCCGTCGTCCGCCGAACGTCGTCCGTCGTTTGTCTTCGGACCATATTTTTTCGTTAACACTCTAGTGGTCACATTTTTGCCACAGTTATCATCAAACTTTGTCAGGATGCTTGTTTCGTTGTTTAGGTAATTGCTCGGATGAGTTCGAACATGGATCATCTCGAATGAAAAACTAGGTCACAGGAGCTAAAAGAAAGAAATCTTGTTCACACTCTAGTGGCTACTGTATTGATCCAAATACATGTATCACGGAAATTGGTCTGAAACTTTGTTTTGGTGATTTCTAGATCAAGTTTTAATATGGGTCACCTTGAATCAAAAACTAGGTTACACCGCCCAAATATGGAAAAAAAACTTGTTAACACTCTAGTGGTCACATTTTCAACTCAATTGTCATCAAACTTGATCAGAATGCTTCTCTAGGTAATTGCCGATATGAGTTCAAACATGGTTCCTTTCGAAAGAAGACTGGAAAAACGGGAAATTTCTCTGAAAATTTGTTTTGACGATTTCTAGGTCAGGTTCGAATATGTGTAATCTGGGGTCAAAAACTAGATAACACCGCCCCACCTAAAAAAACATTGTTTACACTCTAATGGACACATTTTCGAATCAGTTGTCATCAAATTTGGTCAGGATGCTTGACTAGTTAATTGTTCGGAGAACTTTGAATATGGGTCATCTTTAATATAAAACAAGTCACAGGAGTTAAAGCTAGAAAAAAAATATTAACACTCTTGTAGGTACTGTTGTAAGCCAAATATCCTGGAAATTGGTCTGCAAATTTGTTTTGGTGATTTCCAGGTCAAGTTGAATATGGGTCACCTGGTGTCAGAAACTAGGTTGCATTGCCCAAAAATGGAAACATTGTGTTAACACTCTAGAGGTCATATTTTCGACAAACTTTGTCAGGATGCTTGCCTTAGTAATGGCTCGGATGAGTTCGGTGGGACAGGTGAGCGATCTAGGGCCATCTTGTTTCTTATAACTCTTCAAATTAATATTAATTCATATACATGTATATCTACAGTGTGTTAAAATTCAATTTGTAAAATGGTACTTCACAATATGGTTTTAATCAGATCAATCGTCGCACCAACAATAAATTGTGATACGGCGACTTCCCAGGTTTACTGGTGAATGACGACCTCGGGTGCCCCTCTATACATTATTTCAGGCATGGAAGGACACCTGAGTGGAAACCATCGACGTTTAATAAGCTGGATAGCTTCCTCGCATGAAAGAAAATTAAGTCCCTTGCGGAATTTGAACCTAAAGCGGTGAGCATCTATTGAAACAACACAATTGAATATATATATATAGGTATGACTTTAAAACAATTGAGTAATAAAGTAATTCTTCTTATTTAAAAATAAAAATGCAATACATAAAATATAAGATTTTTAAATTATTTAGTAATAAAGTAATTCTTCTTAATATTTAAAAATAAAAATGCAATACATAAAATATAAGATTTTTAAATTATTTATATTTGTATTTAACAGTTTAGGTCCTACGCACGTGGTTCGTTTGATAATTTGAGGTTTTACGATACTGCCGGACTTCACCAAGGATTCAACATAGACATGATGACAAGTATTATTAGTGGAAGAGTTAAAGAAGGGTATGACGTAAGTAGAAAAATATTGGTGAACAGAGTGAAAATCTTGAAAGAGATAAAACCTCCGATAGCAATGACAACAACAGTAAAAGTAATTTTTATATTGGGGAATTTGGGTGGTGGCAATAATGTGACAGAAATAAGTCGACAGAGCAAAGTCATAACCGTTAAAGACAAAGTGTTTGCTAAAAGTTTACGTGATGAGACAAAACACTCTGTTTGGTTTTGATATTTTTTCTTAGCGGTTTGATAGTGAAGCATTATATGTTTTATTATCGTCTTTCTTAATATCATGCGTCGTTTTTAATCCTACTGTTATTTAAGTTTTTTGCCTTTTCTTTAAGGTTTATCTATTTAGATTGTTTGGATATTAGATAACAATTGAATAAAACTTTGTCATTTCACAAACGTCGACAAACAATTGGCATGATTTGTCTCAAAAAGCATGATTAATTCAGTCTTGTGTCTAGGTTAAACTGCCTTAATATAAGTCCTCACATCGAAAGCTTTCGATCCTTTCGTTGTATATTGCCTTGCAACTGGCAGTCCAGCCATCTGTCCGCCTGTCTGTTAACAAGTCGTATCTCTATCTGAATCTTTTGAACCGATAGAATGAAATTTAAACGATTTAAAAGAAACGTTGATCACAATGGGACGATGTGCGGAATTCAGGTTATGTACCTGGCAGTCCGTCCGTCTACTCATCTGTTAGCAACTTCGTGTCTGCTATGTATCTTTTGAACCAATTGAAGGAAATAAGAACCATTTGGCAGAAATGCTTCCTATTATGAGACGCTAAAACTTCCTCGAATCAGAATTGGCCTTTTTCGAGTAAAAAGTAAACAATCTTTCTATGATGTAAAAAAGGCCAAGTAAATCACTTATACGCTGGATAGAAAGCAGAAATACCGACAAAATGATGTATAAAGCTACGTAAGGTGAATGCTGATATGACTTTTTGAAATATTTATGAAAATTTATCGAAAATTTCGAGTGTCTGGTGTTTAACGTATAACGTTAAGTGGGTGGGATATCTCAGGTAAAAAATTTACCTGTACACATCACCTGATTAAAAATTCGTCACGCTTGATCGAACTTTAGCTATGAAAAGTACTGTTTAGTTAAAAAGCAGTTATGTAACATAATTATAATATACATATATCATTGAAAATGAGCTCGCGGACAAAGCGAGGGCTTTCATCAACAAACAGTGAAGGAGAATGTACTAGCGCTTTAGACTCAACAGTTTTTAAAGATTCAGATTTTTCGCCAATTGACGAAAAAAAGAAGAAGAAAAAACAAAAGCAGAAAAACAAAAAACAATGGCTGACTTTATGGAAACGTCTAATAAACAAGATCTTCTAGGTAATAAATCCGTAGAAAAAATGTTAGACACGATAAATGAAAAATTGTCAAATGTAATTACAAAAAGTGATATTTCTTTAATAAGACAGGTTGTCATTGACACCGTAAATGAAATGAAAGAGCAGTTTCTCAGCTCACTCGTAAAGCGTTTGGAAATACTTGAGGGGAGTGTCCATGACCAGGCGTCTGAAACAGATCAACTTAAAAAAGATTTGAAAAACAAACAAAATGAATTAGATGAAATAAAGGACAAAATGCAATGTATTCGTGATAGGGTCAGACGAGAAACTGAAACAAATGACAGGGTTTTAAATGACCTAGAGCAGTACAGCCGCAGAAACAACATTAGAATATATGGTGTTCCTGGCGATTCAGAAAAACAGTCCTCTCAGGAAACAACTACAAAGGTCGTGTCCCTTTTGAACGAAAAACTTTCAATGTCAATAACAGAAGAGAACATTGATATAGCACACAGGTTAGGGCAGTACAAAGGGAAAAATCGACCTGTTATTGTAAAGTTTGTACGAAGACAAGTTAAAAATGAAGTTTTCGAAAAAATAAAGAGATTGAAAACAACAAATATTTTCATAAACCATGATCTCACGTGGTTGAATCAACAGGTGCTATCTTCTCTTCGCCTTAAAGATACAAATGCAGTAAAAAAATGCTGGTGTACGGATGGAAAGATTTTTGCGACATTCATGGACGACCAAAATGGAATAAAACGATTTAAGACAAAAGAAATCAAGTTTGTCGATTTTGATTACTGGTTGAACCTTCCGTGGCCAGGAAAAGGAAATCCCAAATAGACTATTTAGAGATAAAACATGATAATATGGACAGCCTTTGACTTTAAATTGTTTTTCTCCCTAAATAAACAGTTCTACGGAATATGAAAATGCTAAAACTTAAGTTACAATGATTTTAAAATAACAAATGTCTACATATACTTGACATTTAGCAAAAAAAAAATTGTTTTGCTTTTGCTTTTGTTGTTTATTTATTCAATCTTTTTTGGGTATAGTCTCTGTAATGATCTTGTCTTTTTTACCAAGACATTACCCTAGAGATTTTTCATGCATATCTTTGTGTTTAGCGTGACTTATAATAATAAATAATAATAATAAAAACAATAATAAAAGCAATAATATTAATAAAAAGCAATATAATCAATAAAATAATCACAAAGATAGATTTTTTTTTTTAGTATGTTTAAACATGTTTTTTTTTTTTGTTGTTGTTTTTTTTTAATCTCTCTGTAATGATCTTTTCTGTTTCGTTTTGTTTTTCGCTTTTTCGCAAAGACATTACTTTGAGGTTCTTTTTCAATATAACTTTAATTTAGTGATACACTATTCATTGTGCTTTAAAAAATTTTGTTTTTGTTTTTTCTCCATCACTCTATTCATGCATCACATAATAAATGCATAAATACTTAGAAGTCAGTTTTATAAAAGTGCATATTATGCCTTAAAGTTATATCTCTGCAAGAATCAACACTTAGCATTTACTGTATGCTTAAATATATATGATGCCCAAAATTAATATCTATTGGTTTGAACTGTTCTCTTTTTTTTTCTCACAATGAAACTTTTTTATGCATTTTTCTGTATATTTTTTTACTCAAAGTAAATTGTCTACCATTTTTCTTTTTATGTTTTTTATTTTTCTAAGAAATAAATGTAAGCTTTTAGGAAAATATCAGACGCTTATATCTTAATTTTAGCTCGATTTTTCAAATTACTTTTTTTATTTAAGCTATATTTATTTAAACTGAATTATTCTGGTTAAAAGAAGACAGTGTCTTTCAAGCACTTGTTTATATATAGAAGAAAAAGAAGAATAGTCCAGCCATCTGGGTTCATTTTACTCTCACATTTTTGCATTTATACAAAATGAAAAATATATCCAGTCTATAAGTGATTTATTTATTTTTCTCAAGTTTTATACTGGGAACAATTGTCCTTTCTGTGTTTATTTTGTATATATGTGTGTGTGTGTCTGTAACTGTTTATGTATGTATGAATGATTTATTGATTTGTTTGTGTTTTGTTCACATTACCTTCCTTGAAGCATGTATTTTTTCTTTTTCAAATATACGTTTTAGATGAATTCAAGTTGCCTAAATATCCAATCTTTGAATTGTAGATGTCTTAGCGGTTCAAAGAAGAGAATTGAGTTATTTAAATTTTTAAGCCGAAAAAAATGCAATATTTACTGTTTACAAGATTCACACGTAAACGTAAATATGTTTAGAAATATATACTGTGAATGGAATAGTGAATGTTTCCTGAGCCAAGGGACATCCAATTCACGGGGAGTTGCAATTCTTTTTAATAAAAATATTGAATATAAAATTCACAGCAAACATATTGATAAAAAAGGAATCTTTATTGTTTTAGATTTAACAATTGAGGAAAATACGAGTAGATTAACCCTATAAATATTTACGGTCCAAATACAGATCAACCAATTTTTTACAGTGAACTGTTTGATATCATTGACAGAATAGGAAACGATTCTTATATCCTGTGTGGAGATTTTAACTTAGTTCTAGATCCTGACAAAGATTATTACAACTATAAATTTGTAAATAATATTAAAGCTAGAAATTTTATATTACAAAATATTGATCAGCGAAATCTTGTTGATCCATTCAGAGAACTTTTTCCAAATCTGAACAGATACACTTGGCGTAAACCGACTCCACTCCAACAAGCACGCCTTGATTTTTTCCTGGTAACTGAAACAATTTTCCCTCATGTAGAAAATATTAAAATTGAGACAAGCTATCAGTCAGATCATTCAATTGTTATAATGAAGATAAAGTTTAATGACTTTATACACGGAAAAGGTCTATGGAAACATAATAATTCCCTTTTAAAAGATATAGATTATTTGAATAAAATACAGACAAAAATAGTTGATATTAAAAAACAGTATGCTTTACCTAATTATATATAACCTTGAAAATATATCGGAAATACCAAATGATGAAATTCAGTTTACGATAAACGATCAGTTGTTTTTAGAAACACTTTTAATGGAACTGAGAGGGACAGCTATATCTTACAGCAGTTATCTTAAGAAAAAAGAAAGAAATGATGAAAAAAGAATAATAAATTAAATACATGAAATCGAATCAAACTTGTCAGACGATAAACTTAACCGATTGCAAGAATTGCAAAATAATTTAAAAGAACTTAATAATATTCAGCTTCAAGGTTATCTTATAAGGTCAAGAGCAAAATGGACTTTAGAAGGAGAAAAACCTTCAAATTTTTTTTGCGGTTTAGAAAAACATAGTTACATAACTAAGACTATACATAAGATTCAAAAAGACGACGGTAGTATTCTTAATGATCAAAAGTTAATATTAAAAGAAATTGAAGATTTTTATAGAACTCTTTTCAGCAAAAAATCAGCATATGATGCAAATGATCAATTTTTACAATTTGTGGAAAATATAGATGCACCGGTTTTAAGTGAATCGGAATCCAATGTATTAGAAGGCTATATAAATTATGAAGAAGCTAGTAAAGTTTTACAAAATATGGCAAATAATAAAAGCCCGGGGACATCAGGCTTTAGTGCAGATTTTTATAAGGTATTCTGGAAAAATTTAGGTCCTTTTGTGGTAAGAGCTATCAATGATGCTTATACTTCAAATAAATTGTCAGTGACCCAAACACAAGGTGTAATAACATGTATTCCAAAAGAAAATAAACCTAAACAATTCGTGAAAAATTGGAGACCTATAACACTTCTAAATACCGTATACAAAATTGCTGCAGGTTGCATAGCGAATCGAATAAAACTTACTCTAGATAAACTAATAAATAAAGATCAAACAGGTTTCATCAAAGGAAGATATATTGGAGAAAATACCCGTCTTATCTATGATATCATGCAGTATACTGAAGAAAATAACATTCCTGGACTTTTCCTTTTAATAGATTTTGAAAAAGCTTTTGATTCACTCTCTTGGTCATTTGTACAGAATACTCTGTCTTTTTTTTAACTTTGGTCCGTCTATAAAAAAATGGTTTGATATTTTATATAAGGATGCAACTTCTGCTGTTAATCAATGTGGGTTTTTATCAAATTTTGTAAAAATAGGTAGAGGCTGCCGACAAGGAGATCCTCTTTCATGTTATATTTTTATATTATGTGCTGAAGTTCTAGCTTTAAAAATAAGAAATGATAAGATTATTAAAGGAATAAACATTAACAATGTAGAACATAAATTGTCACAATTTGCAGATGACACAACAATGATTTTAGATGGATCAAGTGCGTCTTTAAATAAATCTTTGGAAATCTTGTCAGATTTTGCACAAACTATCGGGACTTAATGTTAATTTTGATAAAACTAAGGTTGTGTGGATAGGAAAAATGAAATATTCTCAAAACAGTATAAAAACAAGATGGAAATTGTCTTGGAATCAACATCAATTTAAAATGTTAGGCATAAATTTTCATGTTGACTTAAGTAAAATAATAGATTTAAACTATAGCGAAAGAATAGATAATATCCGAAAGGTTATTCAAAATTGGAAAAGAAGAATTCTAACACCAATAGGTAAAATTGCTGTCATTAAATCTCTTTTGATTTCATATGCAAACCATTTATTCATTTCAATACCAAATCCTTCTGAAGATGTAATCAGTGTATTAAATAAAATGTTTTATGAATTTATTTGGCAAGGAAATGTAAAATAAAGTCTTCCATTATTGTAAAAACTATGCTGAGGGCGGCTTGCAGATGATAATATTTCCGCCTTTATCATGTCATTAAAAATAACATGGTTTAAAAAGAATAATCTCAAATGATAGTTGGAACTTGCAAAAGAAACAATCTTTTTTGGAAGGACACTTTTACAGCCTTATCACGATATATAGAATTAATTCCAATCGAAAATAATTCTTTCGGAAAACATACTTTATTTTATAACAATAACATATTATTGGTTCAAAAAGCGTATATTTAAAATTGTGGTTTCGATGCTGGTGTTTGTAACATAGAACACCTTATATCTGATGGAAAGTTTTTATCTTATAATGAATTTATAAAAAGATACAATGTCCAATCTAATATCTTAATTTTCAACGGTATGATTCTATCAGTAAAGCAATTTTTAAATAAATATAATATAATCTATAACATCCAACAGAAAAGCATTGGCCCAGACATACCGCTATACTTTAAAGATATTATATCAGACATAAATGGAGCAAAACCTTTCTATAATATATTAAATAAAAACAAATCAAAGCCAACAAGTATCGAAAAATGGACAAATAACCTTAATTTAGCTTTTAGTGAAAACGAATGGAAAATTATATTCGAAATGCCTTTTAGAATTACAAAATGTGCTAAGTTGCAATGGTTCCAAACAAAAATTTTACACAGGATTATTGGAACCAATCATCTTTTATACAAAATTAAGTATAAAGAAAGTCCTTTATGTTCTTTTTGTAGTAATGATGTTGAAAGCATTGAGCATCTATTCTGGATGTGTCCCATTGTCAAAAAATTTATAAAGGAATTTCTTAAAATAAATGAAGCACCTTTTTTATCTTTGGGTATAAAAGAAATGATGTTTGGCTATAATGCAAAGGATGATTTATCTAACGCAAAAAACTTATTTTTAGTATACTTTAAAAATGTATATTTATCAGTGTAAAATGCTTGATCTTTCTTTATCAATGATTGCAGCCAAAAACTTTTATAACACAAAAGCTCAAGACTGATAAAGAGGTAGCAATCATAAATAATAGATTACCGAAATTTGAAAATGTTTGGAGTCTTTTTAGAAAATTTATTTTTATATTTTTAAAAAAGAAAAATGTCAGCTGAGAAAATATTATTTCTACACTGAAAAGTACTGTTTTTTGAGTTTAAGTAATTAAGAAATAATTCAAGCCAAAATAGCATGCTTTAGATTTTATATACTGTTGATGCTTTTGAAACTATTTCTTAAAAAAATACGGTTATGAGTGCGAGTATGAATGCATGTGTCGTCCCTGTCTCTTTGTGTTTTTTGTTGTTGTTGTTGTTGTTGTTGTTGTGTGTGTGTGTGTGTGTGTGTGTGCGTGCGTGCGTGCGTGCGTGCGTGCGTGCGTGCGTGCGCGTGCGTGCGTGTGTGTGTGTGTTTTCTTTTTGATTTTTTTTTGTAATTGTTGTTTTTTTTTTCTTTCATTACATTGGTTCCACATCTGGTATAACCGTTCATATGCATGAAAACAAATAATTGTAAAACCACTGTGGGATGTGCTTCGACCCACAAATGGTTATATGACGAAGCGAATAAATGGGGTTACCCCATGTGGGGCCTGAAAAAAAAAAAAAGAATTGGCCTCGCTCAGGGGGTCACATGATTTCTGCTTTGTTGCCCTTTGCGAAAATTTTAAAAATCATGACCCTTGGGTGAGTACTGGCCCAACCCTGGTTGTCACTAAGTTTTTTCTATACTTACAAACATATTTTGAAAGTATTTGCTTCTGAACTCTTAACGCAAAAACTTAAATATTAGCATGAACCATAAAATGAGAGTCATTCACATTTCTACAAGAGTAACACTAACCATGTCATTGTCCTGAGGGTCACATTTCTAATGTAGATTGATGTATTAAAAGACACATCAAATCTTTTTGTGAATAACTACAGCACTCGGAGCTTGCTTATATATTTGGCATGTGCAATTGCCTAGTATACCTCTATGATGTTTTATGAATCATGCAGGGTCAAAAATGCTCCCACCCTTGGAGGATATTCAGTACAGAACGTATAATTAAAGTAAAACATTTTTGGTGAAATTTCTTTATTGGGTCTATTAACTTATTGAAAAATTATATTGATTACTCAAACACTTCTTTTATTCAGAAGTATAATACCCCATCTTTGTTCTTGTTCATAATCATTTCATTGAAAACGAAAAGGCTTCAAACCCATTGACGATACCTTATCACTATGAGTAGCATACTAGTATCATACCATCATCTTACAAGTCCCACCAGAAAATAAATGTTCCAAAGATGCATTTACAGTTCTTTTTATCACACATGGTCCATGCAATTTTATTTTCTTTCCAATGATTCTATTGCGGGCGTTTTGTTGTTTCTTTGTGTGTGTGTGTGTGTGTGTGTGTGTGTGTGTGTGTGTGTGTGTGTGTGTGTGTGTGTGTGTGTGTGTGTGTGCGTGCGTGCGTGCGTGCGTGTGTGTGTGTGTGTGTGTGTGTGTGTTTTCTCTTAATTTCGAATCGATTACATTTTTACTCTCATTTATGAAATAATAACTATCTGGCCAACCGTTGATATTTAACAAAACACATTTTACAAAGCGATAGAAATATTTCAATTTATTGTTAACAGTCTTGCCGAAAAATATAGGTAATAAAGGAACGGGGAAAGTTGTGTAATAAAAAATGCAATAATGTAGTTCTTTGCTTACTGTCAGTGTTTATCTAACTATATACTCACTTTTAAAGTTAACTGCACAAATCACACGAACAGATATGTTTGTAACACTAAGAAACTCCTCATTTCATTAGCATGTTATTTTGAAGAACTGTGCTAACGTAATGTCAAACGGTCGACTTTATATTTTAAAACAAAGTAGTACATTAAATTACTATAGGCGTAAGAGAATACGGATCTATTACTTAAATTCGGCTCTCTCTCTCGGTGGTTGTATTTGCAAGCTACCCTCCGGGCCCCTTGGCACCGTCTTCAGAAAAAATCAACATTTAAACAATGACAATTATGAAAGTTTCAATTTAATAACATCCGAAAATGTGTTCTAAAGGCGATCATCATGGGACCATCAATGAGGAACGTTCGTGTCATTCCATGAAAAGCGGTGTATGGTCCCAAAGTCAAAAAGCGTGTGCAAACAATGGGACTAAACCAAGGCTCGTTTCATATCTTATTTTGATCTTAAATCACCAATAGTATACAAACACTTATAAGCGGTAAGAGTTTACATTGAGTGGTCTAAAAATAAGAAATCAACAGTCGCGTTATCTTCGTTTAGCCTTCTTGATTCATTAAGAACATATTATATTCCCTACAACCTTTATATACTTGGTTAAACAAGCACGATAGAAATATAAAAAAAGAAAGCGTATATATAATTTCAGTTTTTCTTAGGTGGAATTATTGAAGAGGATAACCCGTTCTACAGAAAGAATCCTTCTGAGGCAGACATGATGCATTGTGTCATTTATGTAGTGGATATTTGTTTATTAAGTGTGATGGATAGTTCGTTTACACATAGTATTAGAAAGTTGCAAACAAAACAGATAAGTTCTGGTGGGTGACTTTTGTATAGTTTCATAACAAAAAAAATGGAATACTCAATTTAAAACTATAATCATCAAACATTAGGAAAGCTTTTCAAATACAGAACATTTTTTCATTTGCTGTACACGCTGGCAGGTTTATATCTATCTTCAAAATGATAAAAGACGAAAAGGCTTTAGACTTAATATAAAAAAACAACATTTTTTCGTTTTCCTATAAAAGTATAAAAAATAAGTGTAGCAAGGTAACTTGTCCTAGGGCAAATGTATTTATGTTTACTGTTTCAGATTTACAACGCATTTTAATTCTTACGAAATGCGATGAGTTATGTGATGAAGTCAATAAAAATGTAGTTAACATCTACAGAAGTAAAAAGGTATTAGAAGAAATTAATAGAGCAAGTGATTTATTTGGTCTTCCTAGAGGAAATATACATCCAGTGGTAAATTATGGAGAACGCGTAACGACAATCAACCCAGATATGAATATCCCTATTCTACTTGCGCTTCAGCAGTGTGTGAATTTCTCCAACGATTTTATGGAAAATATATTGCAGAGAAACGTCATGCAGAATAATGCTAATAAATGGCAAGTATTTTTACATTTGTTTTTTTTTTTCACATTTCTGAATCATATCATGTGCTTTAGACATAGTTTTGATACAAATATATGATTGGTGGCATTTTCAGACTTAAGAAAATCTCGCCATTATTCAAAACACATATCTGTAAAGTTTTGCCAAAACTAATTGTAAGTAACGTGGTATTTTCTGGTTTTTCGGAATTATTGATTCTGATAATAGGGCAATGAGATATCTATCATTGTCTGTGATTAAAATATCTTTTTCTCTGATTTTATTGCTTTTGAAGATTTTCTTCTTTCCCACTTCAAAAATATAGAAAGTAGTTTCAAATATCTTTTTCAGCCCTAAACTTTAACGTCTTTTTATACGCCCGAGAACATTTTGGCGTATAATGGCGTATATTGTTATGCACCTGGTTGTCCATCTATCCGTTGGTCCATCCGTCCGTCTGTGTGCAGGTTTCGTGCCCGGTCTGTATCTTTTGAACCGGTGGAAGGAAATTAAAACTACTTGACAGAAATGTTAACCCATTATGAGACAAAGTAAAGAGCGCAGGTTTGGCCTTTCACAGGTGAAGATCAAGTTCACACTTTATCATTTTGTAGAAGTTTCAAATTTTCGTGTCCTCTCTTATCTTTTGAACTGATGACTTTTTTGTAGAAATATTATTTACAATGAGACGGTGTGCAGAACAAGTATTCAGACTTCCTTAGATCAAATTGGCCCAGCCCCAGGATTACATGATGTATTTAGACTTATATAAGGGTTTTCTTGTGCAGTCTGAATCTTTTGATCAAGTGGAAGCAAATTCGAACTAACTGGCGGAAATGTTAACCATAATGAGACAATGTGCAGAGTGCAAGTTTGACCTCCCTCAGGACAAGGTCAAGGTCACACTTGGTCTTAATATATTGATTTCAATTTTTTTTTTATCGCAATCTATCTTTTAACCGATTGTATGAAATGTTACTTTTACAGAAATGATCTGCAGATCGCATGTTTAGGCTTCTTTCGGGGCAAGTTCAAAGTCACACTGACTTATTCAAAATCCTAATATCAGTGTAGATATATCAAAGGGAGACAAAGAAAGAAAGAAAGAAAGAAAGAAAGAAAACGTAAAAGATTATATGGCATTCTAGAATTCTGATTTGGTGACGTGTTTATATGCCTTTGGCATTTTGTTTTATTATTACAGGTATTAATGTGTTGTTGAGTTCAACAGTAGAACAGTGGAAAATTTTAAACAATGACAGTTATATTTTTAATCGAAAGAAGTTGATCATTTATATTTCTTTCATTTCCTTTTGTTACTTTGTTTTACAATACATAAAGCCTACAGAACATAAATCAACTCCTACGCAAAATGATTTCTTTAATTTGAAACTTTTCCCGCGCAAATATGGATATGCTAGTTCAATAGAAAAAAATATATAATGTGATTTAAAACGATGCCAAATTATTACCAGCGATAATGATTTAAAAGATGGAAAATAGATGAAGCTTTAATTGTTCTGATATTAAAAGATTGGAGAATTGTCACTACCATCAGACTGTTCTTAAGATGTTAAACAGACAACCGGGCCCGCTGGAACACTTTTCATTGCCTAGTCTGACAGTTCTGGTTTCTCCGGATGTTTCAATATTAGGCTTCGCCTGCATCAGCTTACCAGATACAGTGAAACATGCACACAGTTCATCATTTTGTTTCATAAAGTAATTTCAAATTAGTAATTACCTCGATTTACGGTCATTCCGGCTAGCCTGAACAACCGTAACAAAGGCTACTTCTGAAATAAGAAAATCTAACATCTGATTGTCCATCCGCTCGTCCGTCAATATGTTAGTATTTGGTATCTTAAATGACAATTTGCAGACGATGTTTGCCTTAACGGTAGTATTTATGGCAAGAGGACAACACATGGACAAGACCTTACCACAGGAGTATGTCATCATGTGCAGTTCTGTGGAATTGAAACTTGGGGCCAGTCGGCGATTTTGAGATTTGAGCTGAAAAGATAATTTACAGTTAGATTTTCGGTTAAATGTCGGTCAAATACTAGTACGAGTATTCCTGAAAAACACACTTATACAAGCGGACACACGGTGATACCGCTAGCCGTACCACAAATGGGATTTCGCGGATTTAAGCCTGCGGCTGACAGGAGCAAGTCGGTATGTGCGAAATATCAGCTGAACTGAGCCGGAAAACCAGTACACCCGGAATCAGATTCCGGTTAGCCGGGACAGCCGGTCTAGGCAAAAACATTGTTCCAGCTTCTCCATTTGATTTGTCTTGCTTTCTTAGGGAACATTTAAGTAAGCAACTGTATACTTGCTTTCTTAACATGTATATTAAAACAAACAAGAAACTTAATAAAAATTTTGACATCATATTTCAATCCGAAATTCAAAATGATGCTCTGTTTTTTTTTAACATTTGAAAAGTGAAAATAATTAGAATGATTTTTTTCTAGACGTTCCAATGTATCTAATAAATTATCAATATTTGTTATAGATTGTTGTATTTTGTAAATGAAGAATACTAATAATAAAATTATGAACTTTTTAAAACCTTACTATGAAACTTCTTCATTACTGAAACCTGATCATGGACAACTAATATTCATGGAAGAAGTTACCTTGTACCAGAAGACACACTTTAGTCGGTTTTAATTGGACTCTATTTCTCTACATTCTATCGTGACATCAGCATTGTATTCGACACATGTACGGTTTTCCGTTAGAGCCTGCGCGGTTTCGCGCTTTCGTCGAATCGCGAAAAACACCATACCGTGACGCAAAAACACGATGCAATAAAGCGTAAACACGATAAGAGATCGCGAAAATACGATGCGAAAAATATCGAGAAAACGCGATATCAATGGCGCGAAAACGCGATATTTTTGGCATCGTGTTCTTGTGATCTCATATCATGTTTTCGCGTTTTCGCCTTTCTGACTAGAAATAGAGTAAGTACAAGCTTCCCTTAAAACATAAGCTGACAATTGCAAGTGACATGAGATAATTCTTATAATAATGAATTTGGCAGTTATATGTATGTGCAAATAACATACTCATTATATGAATAATTATCATAAGGTTTACATTAGGTCAGTCTGGTAAAGTTGTGGTATAGACCTTTAAACGAAGCGGTCCGTCGCTATGAAAAATTGACCGGAAATAGTATTTTTTCGCGCAAGCGCAATTTGCGTAGGGCAAAAAGAGCCTTGCCCTACATAGGAATGTAGTAGATATTCATAGACAATTCCGAGTTAGTTTAAGGTAAAAAGTAGAAAATCATATAAAAAAGCTTTAAAAATAAAGTGACATTATGCTCGTATTTCCATAGTCAAGTTAAGCTGAACTGACTATATATTTCAAAAGGTTGACTGTTAAAATGGTGATTGACCAACAGTTCATATTGGAAAATGTTAAGGATAAAATTTAAATCTGCCTATAATATAAAAAGACTACTTTTTTACGAAATGAACGTTGCAGGTTAATTCTAGCGGATATTTACGAAAATTCCATTTGAATCCATGTGTTGTTTACTCTTAATGTGAAATTTCTTTTTTATATTGAAAGGAATTATTGAAAAATGAAAATTTATTTTGATATTCACTTGTTCACTCATTTATACCATTGGATGGGCATAATGTCACTTTAACAGAAACACAAAAGATGCCTTCATAGCTTTGTGGCCAAGATTGTCCAAAAAAGGCATGGAAAAGACGATTGTTTAAGAATTGCACGTTCACGTTTAAAGTACTTACCGCTTTAATTTATCTCAAAATTTCTTTTTCTGTGTGACATAACTTGAAATCACGCCTTTTATAGCCTTTAAGTACGCTAAAATGTAATATTTCGTTATTGCGCTTTTGCCCGACGCAGAATGTGAATGCGCGAAATGCAACATACGTTGCTATCGAAAAATCGTACTGTAAAAAGGTCTATAATGCATTTTGGTGGTAGCAGATGAGGTTAATTTGTTCACAATCACTCATTATTGAGTCTTCTGTATAGGTTATCTTCATTGCATGCAATGGCAGATCCTAATCCTTAAAACCAAGGGAAACGCTTCTTTTACGATTTAATAGGCTACCTCTCACTTCGTGGCCAGTTGAGTTTTAAGTGATCACAATCTATTCGTCATCTGTGGTCCTCGCCTCCGTCCGTTAACATTTAAAAATTATCTCTGAAACGACAAGGCCCAGAGCTTTGAGATTCTATACGAATATATTTTTTTTCAAATCATGACACCGGTGTCATATTTGCCCCAACCGGGGGCATATGGTTTACTATATACTTTTACAGGAAAATCTTTAAAATGTCTTCTCTGAAATTGCAAGGCCTAGAGCTTTGTGCTTTGGTGTAGACTAGTAGACTTCTACCAAACATATATGGGAGACATATTGTTTTTGTACATTACATCTGTCTGTCTGTCTATCTGTGCTTCTCCTTAACCGCTGGTTCGATTTTATTTTATATAAAATATCGTGTTTTCGCCTTCGCGGTCAATAGGGCGAAAACGCGAAAACACGATACGAATCGCGAAAACACGATGCGAAAATATCGCGTTTTCGCGCTATTAATATCGTGTTTTCACGTTTTCGCCCTACTGATCGCGAAGACGAAAACACGATGGGAGATCGAGGCCAAAACGCGAAACCACGATATTAATAGCGCGAAAACGCGATAGTGTTCGCATCGTGTTTTCGCGATCTTGTATCGTGTTTTCACGATTTCGTCCTTAGGGCGACAGCGCGAAACCACGGTGGCCCTAACGGAATTCCGTACACATCGGACAATTGTTCAAAATCACCTATGTATTCGAAGAACTAATTATAAAAATACACGATAAAATGCAGTCCTAGACGGGTGTATATTATGCTATTTTATTAAGTTGCTCTGGCACACAAATGATCTCTCTTGCTAAAGAAGAAACCGGTTGACACATAAAGTATCGTTTATATTGATAACATGCCTGAAAAGTTGCAAAACATGACATAGAATCATTTATTTTAACCTTACAAAGTTGGCAGTTTTCTATCACGACAGGTTAAGAGGAAAAACTGACAAGTTACAAGAATTTCATGATAACAAACCCCTTGACAAACCTCTTGAAAGATGATAACAAATACTATCGGCCGAATTATCACACCACAAACTTAACATTGATTAAAATATATCGTCTCCTTCACAGTGCATGGTAGCGTTTATATTTATTCCTTTCATATACGAAAGAGTCTGAAATCAGGCAACATATGTAATCATGAGAAACATGTAGTTAGACTGTAAGATTACTGCCTAATATACACGTTTATATGTCTCATTTATCAAGTCAAACTTCTTCTCATCATTACGATCTTTAAACAAGGCTTATGGTTGTTATTTAAATGTGTTTTTCTTATCATCTGGGGGCCTCCACTTTCCATACCGCTAATTAGTGCCGATTATCACTAAGCCGGTGGTACGGTGTGCGAGAGATGTTGCACTTTTATTTCTATCTTATGAAACCTAATTAAAACCCTGTTTCGTATTGTCAACTCTTATTTTCTATAACTTTGTGGGGTTTTTTTTCTGGTTTTACATCGGTTATAAGTTATATATGACATATGTTTTTGGTCATAACTCTGCGATCGGCCCACATAATCTGCTTTCCAGGATAATTAACCAGTAACGACCTATGTCTCCACAAGTGTCCGACTACTACATTAAGTACTTATTCCACATAATTTCTGAACAAATGGCCAGTAGATCCAATGTCCTAGACAAAATACAGATCATTCGAGGATTAAACTAGCGACCCCTGGATTATTTATCCAATGTTCGCTTATTGAACAAAGCGGGCGGCTAGAAAATAAAAACAAAAAAGGACATGCTTGAAATATGTCGGTTCAAATTGTAAATTTATTAAGAAATATGAGAAAAGAAAACATATTACCTTTACAAGGGGCTAAAAATTGCAAAGATTCGATTATTAGTTTATTTTTCTTGTTTATTGATCAAAGGCTAATCAATTCTATTCATTTAGTCATACTCTGAACTTTTGAGTACGAAAACATTTCATGTTGGGGATTTTCGGCTCAAAAAACATAACTAAAGATCAGTTATGCATTTGGTATCTATGTCTCGGCACAAGGTAACAAATGAGTAAATTACAACAACAAAATATATGAGTGAAAATATTATTTAATTTCTCAGTTATATACGGTAAAGATAAATGCAGTCAAATACACAAATCATTCACAAACAAACATAAATTTTGAAAATAAAAAAGAAATTACCTTCATTTTGTAATTTACATTAAAAAATCGTAAAAATAATTTTCCTAATTTATACATTTTTCATTCAATTGACCTCTAATTATAACTAAAATGTGAAGTTATTTATTTAAAAGGAAAAGTTATTGCTAGAAATAAAATGTGTCAACAGTTATTACTTTTAATTGATAAGAAAATACATATTAAATCTTAGGTAATAACTGGTCATACATGGAATTACTGGACAAATATTTTGCCAGAGTAACAGCCCATAAAAGCCAAAGTAAGTACGCCGTATGGCTATTCCAAACATAGAAATATTGATTTTTATCCACTGAAATACATGTAGTTGATATAGCGATATTTGGGCATAACAATTTAAGAGAATCTGAATGATATTTATTTTATGTCAAGATAAACAGGTGAAGTTTTTTAACTTTATTTTTGGCAAGAAAATGAAACATATCCTTTAATGTTTGAATCAATTTTAATGACATTTGCCAGCTAGAGTATAAGGGGAGCAAGAGAAAATGACTGTTTAAATATTGTGACAACGTTTGAACTGTGATACGGTGAATGAATTAAAATTTTCACTGCAACAAAGACTTTTAACTTCTTCTCTTAAAATGAGGATCTATATACCAAGAGGTTGATAAAATCCACTTTAAAAGTTTGAATAGCTGTGTCCTAAGTGACAGAATAAAAAACATCAAAGTAATATAGAGTACGGAACAATACATACCTACAAATGTGTTTCTGATTTAAAACTCAATGATGTTTGCATATATTTTGCTAATTACCCCCCCCCCCCCCCAAAGAAAATAAAAAATAGCATACATACGTAAAAGACATGTGCATCCATACAAGAAATGTAGATCCAGTTCATATGGAAATAATAAATCAAGCTACCAAGATCAATAATACTCTAATTTAAGTGCACCAACTTTCTTATTTAACAACTTCTCCTCATTCTTTTATGATTACCAATGAAAATATTGTCACCTTAGTGCAGTAACGGATTAAGTCCTTCTAAACTTAATAGGAGTTAACCAGTTATTGCACTAAAGTTAAAATATAGTCTTGTGATATAAATATCTGATGCCATTCGTTACAACAAAACAGTTATCAAAATAACTACATACCCAAGTAGCACAATTACTGTATAGAAGAATAAATGCAAAACAAATGTACCCAGATAAACAATAACAAACGAAAACTACATTGAATTGCAATGAATCAAATATCACAGTCAAGTATATAAAATTTAAATATTTAATAATTGGAAGAAGCAAACATATATCTATACATTACATAACATACAAATGATCATCTTTCAAATAAAACAAAACATTTGCCCTATTTTCAGATATAGCAAGTTGCAGTAAAGATAATCTTTACTTGAGATTTGTAAATTGAATGTCAACCATTGATCCCTGCATGTAAAAAAATCTAGAATTCTTATTTAAAATATTTTATTTAAAAGATTTCGGTCAGTAATGATGTCTCGCCTATGTCAACAGTAAAGAGCAAGTGGAGTCAACATGTTCAAAATAGACCAACAATGCTATATACGGCTAGATGCTGAGTTAATTTGGTACAAAAGTCTGATGGAATGTTCTTAAATCACAGCAGAACAAATATTTTGTATATACATGAATTTAGGATTTTTAAAGTTGGTTGGAATTAACTAAAAGTCGCTACTGAATGACCTTTTTCATAAATTTAATCAATTGCAAATTTATTTTTTTTAAAATAGAAAATATTCTGTCTGTCGATCAGCATTCATTACTTGCTATTTTGACTGATGATCATCAGTATATAATAACGGCAGTTTCAACAAAGATAAAAACAAATGTAATAATTATAAGAATAACAAAGATTAAGAAAGGTGCTGTACATATTTGTACACAATTTTACAAAGAAAAAGAATGTATTTTCTCCACAGAAAATACTGATTTTTTCTCTATAAATATATGCAACAAAATATATTTAAGCAAAAACACCCTGTTTCATAATACCGACGAAAACTTACACACAATTTAAATGTTAAAACAAATTTAGCTTTAACAGTTTGATTCAAGGAACAAACCCTGGAATAAATTTCATACTCAAATACTTTAACGTCTTTAGGAAAGGCTTAAAGTTTAAGTCTCCATTTCACATTTATTTTGAAAATATGTTGACAAGTTGGCAGGATAGCAATTGGCCTGGTCAAAGCAACAACAATATCCTAAGAATGTTTTATAAACCTTTCCAGCATTCAATAATAATAATAATAATAATAATAATAATAATAATAATTTAGCAAATCTTTTATGTCAAAGTAAATGAAAACTGTCAATGACTTCAAAGTTAAAGTCCTGAAAGCAAATTATTCATTTCTTGAATAATCCTTTTCCAAAATTTCCATGCAATCTATGGAAATAAAGTGACATGGCATGAAAAATGAGAAGAAAATCCAAGGTTTGCAATTAAAACATACATAATACAGTTTACACTTACTAAATAAACAGTATGAAATCTCAAATAACTCTAATAATACTGGTTTATATCTAACAAAAGGTGCATTTACTACAAGATTGCAGGACAATTTTACAATACAAGATACATTGTATACCTCAATAAAAACTTGGCCAAAAAAGAAGGAATATTCATGGAACATTACATTTTATCTCCTCTCATTTTGAGCACATTTTTAGAAAAACAAAATCAATTCTAAATTAAGTTTCAGTCTATAGTTAATAAGATTAAATTTTGAAAAACACATGTTCTATTATACCATTTAAAGGGAATCCACTGAGGTTTTTTGACATGATGGGACTGAAAATATTTTTTCTAGATAATTGTACCATTTGATGTAGGTTTAGACCACTAATCTTTGTGCAAAATTTCAGATCATTCGCGCACACCTTTTTCCAGAATAATTATTTAAATTGTAAAAAACTGACCGTTTAAACGCTTTTCACTTAAATTAGGCTAAGAAAAGCATAAAAAAAACGATTTTCAATTTATTTCAAAGTATATTTCTTAACTATCTTTGCATATATTACTGTTTAAAGTGCCCCAGCTCATTTATGTAAGAAATTCAAATGTTATGTTTTTAGACTTTTAAACCTCAGTGGGGTCCCTTTAATGTTTACACTTGACAGCATTTTTCACTAATTTGACAAGTTTAAAAAGCACAAACCTAGAAATGTGCCGCTTTGAAGTTTTAATAGGAAAGAGGTGAACCTTGATAACTTTTAACAAAAAACATAAAACACATATTTCCTATCTAAAACTCATTGGCAGATATTTTATTGCTGCATTGTCTAAATACAAAATAAAATGGAAAAATCAAAACAATAAATAAAACTGAAAACAAAATCAACGATTTTATTGTTCCATAACAATGAAAAGGTCCAAACAAAATAACAAGAATTGAATTATTTACAATCAACAATTATTTGTGTCAAAATATATGTCAAAATATATGTATATGTAAATATTAAATGTAAATATTCCTACAAAACAAATTCCTTATGAAGTTACAGTAATGGACGGTTGTTTCTTTTCTCGAGCAGATTGTTGGGCCAGGTACAGTTGACGATCTTCCTTCATTTTCTCTGTCTTCGTCTGTTTAGACGTTATATGCAGAGGTGGCAACATCTTCTCCAGTTTTGGGTTGTTAGGGAATTTTAGCAAGTTAGCCACCTTGTTCAATAAAGCACTGAAAATAACAAAACATAAACTTTTAAATAAAGCCTTGTTACAACTGGCGAGCGTTTACGTATCTTTTTACGTAAATTTGGATTTAGCAAAACATAAATTTACATTTTGCGTTTCACTAAACAGCACATGCAATTTACATCAGTAATATTCAGTGAGAGTAACTTTACGTTTAAACTTACGAAAATGCGTAGCTAAAACAGTGAAACGCAAATAAATACGTAACATCTGTTTAAGCAAAAGGTATGTTCAAACTCAAGTTACTATAACATTAGTATGTTAGTGAAAAGCACCCCAGGTGTTTGATCTTTTCTGTCGAATGAGAAGCCTAACCATTAACAATGTTAACTAAATTGTCAATTTAAAGCTTTCAAATATGTTTTTCATATGGGAGAAATAGAGCATGTGTCATAGTATATACGTTAAAGACAGCTGTGTAGCTTATTTCACTTTTGAATAAATTGGAAGGTCTGTACCATTTTAAGTCCTAAATTTACTTGCTAAAGATAACTTCAGTTGGGTATTTTTATCAACAGATTTCATACAAAAAACAAATCACTATTATACAAGATATCTGGCTTGATTTATAAAGAGGATGACATAACTCATTCCAAAACTTTTATACTGCAATAATTCATCAATAAGGGACTGATACAGTTTATAACCATCATAAATAAAATCATACCAATTAAACTTTCACAAGATAACAAATTTCATTTATGTACTTTGTCAGACATGGTTATCATTTCAAACCAGTTCAAACAAACTAACTAAATCAAATTGAACCATCATCACATGTAAGATAGACAGATATGTTATCAATAATATATACAAAACATGTGAACAAATATCAACAAGGCAAAGGCAGTGTTCACAGGATGCTGCCCCAGACGCAATCCAGCAACAACAGCAGGACACCAAGAAGGCATCAAACCAAAACTGGGAGAGAACACAAGGGCAGCGAAAGGAGGGGAGGGACATGTCAAAGTGAAATGATAAGAAACTAAAAGGGGCCAATACAGGAAATTGCGATAATTTGAAAAGTTCAATCAACAATAAATTTTATCACTTACTCCACATGATTTTTCTTCTCCTCTAGGAAAATATATTCCTCCTCCACCTCTTTAAGTGGAGCATTCTCTGGAGCCACCAACTACAATAAGCAATCATTTGAATAATGTTAAATTATTTATACATCAATATTAAATAAACATGTTTGATGATTTTTACAATGTTCAGTAGTAGTAAATCAAATAATTATCAAACAAATGTATAAAAAAAATCTTCAAAAGAGCTGTACTAAAATTTTTCATTGTGCCAAGATTTGTATTGAATAAGAATTGTGCCAGATTTTGTATACAGTAGTACAAGAATTTGAATTTGTAAATGTACCAGAACTAGAATTGTTCAAGAATTTGAATTGGAAATTGTGCCAGAATTTGAATTTGTTCTTGATCTGCATTTGTATTGTACTAGAGTTTGATTTTTTTTTGTAATTTTGCCAGACAATGTAAATGCACCAGAGTTTTGCAAGTATAGTGGTGCATTGTTGTGTCATTTTTTTACTCAGCTAGTAGTTTTAGACAAGTACACTTTCAGGCAGTAAAGCAACTTCATAAATATTCTGTTTTTTATTGCTCGAAATAAGAATAATTTCATATATTGATCACCACAATTATATAAATATAAGTTTCAGAAATAAACAATTCATTGCCTATATAAATATATGAATCATGATACACATTACAAACCTTCAACCTAGATCCCATGTTAAATCTACAACTTCTCTTGCTAGCACTGAATGTCAAGGATATATTGTCCTGGCTCATAACACGTATTCCCATATGTCTATTAATACCTATACATATAGGTTGGAAGGGCGGGGCATGTACGTGGGTAACCTGATCTTTCCAGCTCCATTTACAACGTCTCGCGCCATAGTTGTCAAGCTCTATGCCCCCGTACTGATCTATATATAACCTTAAAATAGAAGCAAAATAATAAAATTATGCACATGTTCAACTTTTCAAAAGAAAAGAAAAAACTTTATTTGATCTTCATATAAATAAATACAAGGTCTCAAATCAGTTCATGACACTTAAATTAACAAACCATATCTCTCAAAAGACTGAATGTTATTTCAATATTGCAACTGTTGGTGGCCAACATAGAAATACATTAATATTGACAATGAAACCACTTAGTTATCAATACAGAGCTTTGCTTGCATGTACAGCTCAGTATAATTTACCAAGAACATAACACTGGATGCTCAAAATTTTAACTTTTTTATAAAAACTTAACTGGAAATTTTGTAGTTTTGTAGTAAGGCAAATTAATTATAAATACATATTTTAACAGTAAAAGGGACATAACTTAATTTTCAATGCTAAACTTAAGAGAAAAGTTGTTAAGTTTAAATAATTTTGCAATGATGTAAATGCCATGAGGCAAACAAAACTTCATTCCATTTATATAACATGTCTTTCTTTCATTCAATAATACAAATGTAGCATCACACATTAATTTAATAAATCTTTGATTAAAAATGTCTTAAAAGTGGGTCAGGAAAAAAACAATTTTTGATATGTCATCTTTTATCAACTTGTTCATTACTGATCTAACAATCAGCAATTTTATCAACTCATTAATGATAATAATGAGTGCAAAACCTAGGACTTGTAAAGTTAACAACATAGATTTCAACCTGAACAACATTCAATTACAACAACAGGTCCATTATGACCAGGCATCAATCAGAAATGTTGCATTGCATCCAAAGAGATGATTCTTTGTCTAATTTGTAGCTTCAAATTGATCAAAATAAGATCCATGGTAAATTCATTTAAACAATTTTAATTAAGGTAAATATAAAGAAATCAAATTTCAATTTTGGCTCTGATCTAAATTTGCCACAAGTATATTGAAAGAAGCCATTGAAGTGTATCTATATTTTCAGCTCTAATGGCCGAATTTCAAAGAAAAGCATAATTACATTAGAATCTCAAGATCAAAGGCTTTTAATGAAATACAACATAAATAAATAATCATTTTGGTATATAATTCTAATATTCATAATTTTCAACATTAGCTAACCATCGAAATTTATTTTAGTCACCATGATATAAAGAAAGAAAGAAAGAAAGAAAGAAAGAAAGAAAGAAAGAAGGAAAGAATGAAGGATGAATGAATGAATGAATGAATGAATTATTAGAAATTTTGGAATTCTTATTTGGTGACGTTTAAATGTCTTTATCACTTGCTTTACTATTACAGGTATTCAGGTATTGTTGAGTTTAACAGTAGAACAGCGGAAATTCGAAACAATGACAGTGATATTTAAGTCGAAAGAAATTGATCATTTACATTTGCTAATTACACATTTCTTTAAATTGATGAAGGTTGTTGTTCAACCGAACTTAGTAGAATAATAAAAACAGTTAAAACTTCACCTGGTGTTGACGTTGGCTCCTCTTTCTTCTTTTTGTGTTTGTTTTTAAATTGAGAAGCAGAAATCAACTCGTACGCAAAATGATTAACTTTTTCCGCACAATGAGGATATGCTAGTTCGCTTGAGAAAATGAATTATGAGATTTAAAACAATGGCAAATCATTCAAGGCCAGTGATTATGATTTAAAAGATGGAATGAACATGCACTTTTTGGAAAGATTTTTAATTGATATTTTATGAAAGTTATATGAAAAGATTGGAGAAATAGAACTAAAGAGAAAATAAACCGTCATAAGGCTGTAACGTTAGATGTATAATAGACACCGTGTCTGGAGAATGACTGCCTTAATGGTATTTTTTATCTTTTTTATCTCTAAGTAATATATACATTTATACAACAAATTCTGATTATTATCCACACCCAAAACAAAGAATTCTGATTATTATTTACAACAAAAACAAACACACATCATTTATTGGCCAATATAATCTTGACAATACAGCTCGACCAATATCAACCATTATATCTTACCAAACAGACACAACCCAACAACCAAATATAATGCAACAACAAAAACAGGTATGATCCAGCTGGGTAAAATAGCACTCCTAGACTGGTGGTTATTGTGCTATTCTATAAAGTTTGATCTCTCTTGCTAAAGAAGAAACCGGTTGACACATAAAAGTATCGATTATATTGATAGCATGCGTATTAACTGAAAAATAGGTGACCGAGAATCATTTATTGTAACCTTACAGTGGTAGTTTTCTATCACGACATGTTAAGAGGAAAAACTGACAAGCTACAAGTATTTCATGATAACAAACCCCTTGACAAACCTCGTGAATGGTGATAACAAATACTCTCGGCCGACACCACATACTTAAAATTGATTAAAATATATCGTCTCCTTCACAGTGCATTGTAGCGTTTATATTTATTCCTTTCATTTACGAAAGAGTCTGAAATCAGGCAACATAGAGTAATCACGAGAAACATGTGATTAGACTAGTAAGTCTGTAAGATTACTGCCTAAAATAGACGTGTTTACGTCTCATCAGGTTTATTTCAATTGAAAGACCCTGGTCTCATTTATCAAGTCAAACTTCTTCTCATCGTTACGATGTTTAAACAAGGTTTATGGTTGTAATGCGTGGTTTTTTCTGATCATCTGGGACCATCACTTTCCAAAACTTTATAGTGCCGATACTAAATTATCACTAAGCCGGTCCTACGGGGTGTGAGAGATGTTGAACTTTCATTATATCTTATGAAACCTTAAATGAAACCCTGTTTTTATTGTCATCTCTTTATTTTCTATAAGTTTTATTCTTGTTTTACAACATATGTTTTTGGACATATCTCGGCGATCGGCCCACCTTATCGGCTTTCCGGAATAATTAAACGAATAACGGCCTAACCGAGTACTATATTGAGTACCAATTCCACATGATTCCTGAACAAATGACCAGTAGATCCAATGTCCTAAACAAAAATACGAATCATTCGAGGATTAAACTAGCGACCCCTGGACTATTTATCCAATGTTCGCATATTGAACAAAGCGGGCGGCTTGAAAGTAAAAACAAAAACGTACATGCTTGAAATCTGTCAGTTCCGGTCGTAAATTAATTAAGAATTATGGGAAAAGAAACATAATTTAGCTGTACTAGGGGCAAAGAATTACAAATATTAGATTAATTAGTTATTTTTCTTGTTTCTAGGTTAAAGGCTAATCATCTATTCCTTTAGTCGTACTCACAACACAAACTTTTCATGTCGGTGACTTTTGCCTAAACAAAACATAACTAAAGATCAGTTACGAATTTGGTATCTTAGTCTCAGCATAAGCTAACAAATGAGTAAATGACAACAACAAAATATAGGAGTGAAAGTATTATTTAATTTCTCAGTTATATATGGTAAAGATAAATGCAATCAAATAAACAAATCATTCACAAACAAACATAAATCTTGAAGAGAAAATAGCAATTACCTCCATTTTTTAATTAACATTAAAAGTCCGTTAAAATGTATTTCCCTAATTTATACATTTTTCATTCAATTGACCTCTAATTATAACATAGTGAGGTAAACAAATAATGATCAATCAAAAATGTGAAGTTATTGAGTAAAAAGGAAAAGTTACTTTTAATTGACAAAAAATACATATTAGATCTTAGATCAGACTCGAATGTACATGGAATTACTGGACAAATATTTTGCCAGAGTAATAGCCCATAAAAACAAAAGTAAGTACGCCGTATGGCTATTCCAAACATAGAAATATTGATTTTTATCCACAGAAATACATGTAGTTGATATAGCAATATTTGGGCATAACAATTTAAGAGAATCTGAATGATATTTATTTTATGTCAAGATAAACAAGTAAAGTTTTGTAACTTTATTTTTGGCAAGAAAATGAAACAAATCCTTTAATATTTTAATCAATTTTAATGACATTTACCAGCTAGAGTATAAGGGGAGCTAGAGGAAATGACTGTGTACATATTGTGACAACGTTTGAACTGTGATAAGGAGAATGAATTCAAATTTTCACTGCAACAAAAACTTTTAACTTCTCTTAACATGAGGATGTATAGACCAAGAGGTTGATAAAATTCATTTTAAAAGGTTGAATAGCTGTGACCTTTGTGATAAAATGAAATACTTCAAAGTGATTTCAAGTACTGAACAATATATACTTACAAATATGTTTCTGATTTAAAACTCAATGTTGCTTGCATATATTTTGCTAACTACCCCCCCCCCCATGTAAAGGACATGTGAATCCATACAAGACATGTATATCTGGTTTATATATTAATAATAAATCAAGCTACCACAACATTAATACTCTAATTTAAGTGCACCAACTTTCTTACTTTACAACTTCTCCTCATTCTTTTATGATTACCAATGAAAATATCGTCACCTTTGTGCAGTAACGGGTTAAGTCCTTCTAAATTTAATAGGAGTTAACCAGTTATTGCACTAAGGTGATGAACAAGAGCTGTCGGTAGGACAGCACGCTCGACTATTCTAAGTGCTTGATAGTAAAAGAGCCTTGATAATGTTAAATTTCCTAAGTTCACAAAAGGACTAATTTTTTTTATAAATTCATGTTATAGGCCTAAGAAAGAGTCTAATTATACAGTATTGGCTTGACTATTATGAAGGTAATGTCACAAGGGTGTTTTATTGAGTATAATAATACTAATTACCTATGCATACATAAAATTGACAGAAAAGGTACAAAGGCTTATTAAGATTTTTTATCAAGTAAATCACTGCTTTATTATTATGAATGCATAAAATTGTCCCAAAAAAGGCACAAACCTTTCAGTAGTTATGGAGATAACAGCTTACAAGCAAAACTTCACCATGAATTTCTAAGTTGAAAAAGGGAAGAAAAACCAGCCTAAATGCAAGATAGAATTATGGATCTTTGTCAGTGACCTACAATTCTGACCCTAAATGCATATGTGAAGTTTTAAATAAATATCTTTAATAGTTATTGAGATATGTAAAAC